CAAACCTCATACAAGTTTCTCCACCATGGTTAATTCTTAGCCTGCTACATAATATTTACACAGAAAAAACTACTTCTCAGGATCTGAGTATCAAGAACCTCCTTATCTCCAGGCTTGCCTCAGAGAGCTGTATCCAAGCCAAAACCTCCTGCTTGGCCATTGGCTCCCATGCAAATACAGAGGAGCTACGCTGCTCCTTTCCCATCCTCACATGGTGGTCTGAGGAAATACCAGAGCCGACATCTCAGCACCACTGCGTGTTCCTCTGGAAAAATAACCCATAACACCAAAAAAGGTGGGGGGAAAGCTCCACAATGGTTACTGCCAAATGGCATGAACCTGCTATCAACAAAAATCTACACCATTGCATGACAACAGAGCAGTGTTTCTGTGTATGAGAAAGCAAGGTGGAGCCATCTGCTCACATTGTGTGGCCTGAGTCTTGGGCTGCAAGAGTGCCTGAAAAATTTGCAGCACATTTCTGAATGACCCATCTCTGCTGCAGATGTTTCCATCTGCACAGCAGTGTGATGCTGTGCATCTTTCATACCACAGCATTTGCAGTTTCTCAATCTCTTTAATGGGTTGTTCTAATCATGCTGGTTATCATTTGCAACCACCATGACTGCCCTCATGACTGGATGGTATGAGATATAATAATGATAGGTATTTAACCTCTGTAGCAGATGTCAGAGGCCCTCAGCCTTCTGAAACACTGCTATCAGAAATAAAGGGCATGAGTGTTTCATCACTTCTGTTGAGGGACTGTAGCTGTGGTGCCACCATGACAAACGGGCAAGAGACGGTTGCTGGTTTCAGTGAGTAAGATCCATTCGTGCCCTTTTGCCCTCAAAAGAGCCACACTGGGGATGGTGCACACTTCTGTGGGTCCTCACTGTCCTGTTGTGCAGGGCACTGATCCCTCTTCCTGTTTAAAGGGAATCTCAAAGAGGAATGTGGGGCAAATCCCCAGAAGAGAGCTGAACAAAAGCTAAGAAAATGAATTTCAATGGTGTGGAGGATATTCCCCCTCAAAGCCACATAAAAATCATAAAAATTGAATTCTAGACATTAGGAACTCTTAGCCAGCACTTTTAGACACCATGGATACTTATTATCATGTCCACATTGTAGGGGTTTTGATAATCTACGATGTAGCATAGATATAGTCACAGAGACTTTACCTACCTGCATTTATCATTCTGGAAAGATCATGTCTATTAATCACAGATAAGAGCACAGCCTATTGTGTCCCTGACAATTAGAGCTCTCTGCCAGCAGAGCAGACACAAATGCTATGAACGAAATGTAAGGTCTTTTTACAGGGTTTGGTTGTTTGGGTTTTTTTTTTCATAAAGTCTTGTACATGCTATAAGTTGAGTCTTGAATTTCTGAGGTTTTCTGTAAGTGAAACTTCAGCAGGGAAGGGAGAGAAAATACCTCTTTCTAGCTGCTACAAAAACATGCTGCAATTTTCAGTAGGGTTGGAGAGTTGCTTTGTCTTTGTGAGCTGTGCTAGAGAGAGCTCACAAAACACAGGTTTGAATATACAGTAGCCAACGTGGCACCCCAGCATTGAGCACATGCAACTCCTCGCTTTTGGAGGTGAGGGGAATGGCTTGAAGGGAGAGCAAGAACCTTTGTGGGGGTAAAAAAAAAAATGTTGTTAAAATGTTAGTAGAAAGGAGAAACTGTAGCCAAATAAATAAATAAATAAATAAATAAATAAAAAGGAACAAATAAATGGATCAACAGATGGTAGACATGATCCCTGGTTCTGCAGGTCATGGTATGAACTGTTTGAGTGCATTGGCCACTACACAGGCAGGTCTCACCTGTTTTGAGTCTGTGACTCTTCTGCTAGGCTGGAACAAGTCTGCCTATTCTCTTTTATCCATGTTTTCAACTGCAGAACAAAGCTAAGAAACTTTTCCTGACAAAGGAGCCATTGAAACTCTCCTTTGAAAATGTCTCAATTTGACCAAGAAGCATGAACAAATTATCTAATCAGAAAACCCCAATGATGGAAAACAATCTACCCATTTACGCCTGAACAAGATCAAAACTTTCAGCATTTGGTTGTGCATTTTGCAATTTCTATTCCACTTTGTCTAGATAAATAATAGTACAAAACAGTATTTTTACTAAGTTTTTTTGCCAGAATTTCCTCACATGGCTTTGCTAACTTCCCAAGTATTAAGCCAGTTTTTAAAAATAACAGATTTTTTCTGAAGTTCAAATTATTTATTCCTTCCATTAGACTCTTGTACACTCTTGAGGGTAGATCTCTGATCTTCATCTATCAAGCATCTATCTAGTACATAAGGCTGTACAGCACTGATGCAGGAACTTGGAAAACTGCTCTTGTTTTTTGTGGTTCCCAGAACAAGGGGTCCAAGTCACAAGTGTTTTTTTCAGGCAGCTGATGGTACCTGCTGGGAGCAGGCACCTGGGAAGCCTGAGGCAGCTTTGGGATACTCAGGGCTGTCAGAGCCATCCCCTTCAGTGTCCTTTCTGTGGGAGGATGGGGGAGAAGCTGGGATCAGAAAATCCAAGCACATCTGGGTTTTACCTGCAGGAGGCTCTGAGATGACTGAGCAGGCACTCCCACTGCTGGGTGCACACTCCAGACATACCCTGGCTTTCCTCTCTCAGATATGGCCTAAGGGGCTGCTGTGCTACAAATGATAATTTATGATGGTAGCACATACATCTGTAGGAATAACATGTTCATGATAATTAATATATGCTTTCAGGGTGATTCAGCGGCCATAAAGAGCACTTTAATTTGCTTCTTAATTTCCCCAAAGAAGTCACCTGCTATATGAGAAATCCAAAGCAATGTTCTTCAAGCCCTAGCAAGATACACATTCCTGCAAACAAGACAAAAATTGCTCCTGTTTTTTTCCTTATAAAATGATTTGTAATTTATTTCTGTCAACATTCTGAACTCTGAGTAAGCTTGCTGCTGGAAGACCAGAGACAGAGAGCACATTTTAAGACTATTTGATTTTTTGAGTTTTACAAGTTTGAAGAGAAATAACATTTACTCTTGGTTGCTATATATTTCCCCTATATTTATTTTCAAATCAGCTAGGTTTCCTGCAGAAAACAGAACTCTCCTTTTCTTGGCCTTTTAAAGAAGGATTTATTTATATTTTAATTCAGGAAGGCTGCCATTTGGAGAGAGTGGAAGGTCTAGGAGGAGGCTGCAGCATGTGTCATTGGGGCAGTTGTGTATTTGTAGCACTTGTTCAGGAACCAGAAGTATGAGCCTTGGCTTGCTTGGCATGAGAAAAGCCATGGGCATTCTGATACAAGTTCTTCTGAAAAGCATTACCCTTGCACAAACTGCTTTCCCAGCTGAAAATTCATCCTCTGCTCCTGCACCTGCTCTCACTGCAGCACACCTGTGGAGTGAACCCACTGCGAGGGCCATGGTGTGGGGGTGCTGTGGCAGGAGGGACAGACCTGTTCCTATTTAGCTAAAATGGCAGCAGCAGCATCATTACAGCAATGTAGGCATTAGTTTTCTTCTGTAAAGATGAACATTTTGCTCTGCATTTTTTATTTAACCTTAATCTGTATATCAGATTTTTATCTGACCAACAGAATCCTGTCATCCCATCCACCAGTCCTGACCACTCCCAATATCCCATTAGGACACTTAAGCTTCTGATGTTCATGAACATTAGGAGTGTTGTAAGATAGTGGTCTTTTTTTCCACTGTTATGTAAAATAAGATGGGTCATTTAAAACTGTTGGCTTTTGGATTAGATTTATCCCTTCTGATCATGCAGAAAACATGAAAGGCAGCCTGAGAAGTTGATGTCAGCTGAAACTTAGACATCATTTACAAGCTCTAATTGGGGATTTTTTGGCATTTTTTGTTTGGTTGGTTGGTTGGTTGGTTTGGGGTTTTTGTTGGTTTTTGGAGGGGGATTTATTTTTGTTTGTTTGTTTTTAATTTAGATAATTTTACCTTTAAATTCTTACATGCAACTGAACTGATCCTAAATAATCCAGAGCCTTGGAAATGTTCTTGGGAAGAAAAGGAATTCTCTACAACTGAGAAATGCTTTCAGAAATGTCAAGAAAGAAATGTCTGAAAAAGCAAGGAAATGAAAATTTGTTGGAAGACATAAATGTGATTCACAGGCGCTTTCTGTGACTGGGAGCATTTGGAGCATTGGAAACTAAGCCCAGGTCTCTTCACTGAGATGAACTGATGTCACCTTAGCAGAGCTGAAACCTGTTTGCCTCTCATGTCTGTTAGGAGGGCTGTGCAAAGGGAGTTGTCAGTGTGGATGCAGACTTTAGTCAAAAAGAGATTCTCATACACAGGACATCCTGCAGTGTTTTACACAGGGATTTAGGAACCAATGTGGCTTAAGCCGAGTTACATTGTGGGAACACAAAAAGGGAAGTCAGCTAATCAAAAGGTTTTGCAACTACTCTAGAGATAAGGTAGATTTGTGTCTGAAACAGTGTATTAACATTTTTATTAAAATATTCTTTCACTGCCATTGTGTTCGGGGACATGTTCACTAGCATAGGCAGAAATGCAACTAAAAACATCTGAAAATGCAGCACTCAGATATCTGGGAACTGCATCAACAGGCCACTCACTTCACACAGGCCACCGAGGAGACAGCACATGCTAATGAACTCGAGCCTTGGCTGAGGTGATGCAGTAGCATAGGTCATTGAGTTGAATGAGTAGATTTACTCAAAAGCATTGATAATGTGTGATTAGAGGACATAAGCATGGTTAAAAATACAAATTGAAGTCACACATGAGGAATCAACAGATAATTTGCACCCTGAAATATGAAACTCTTAACACCACATCACGTGCTTTTAAATTGCAGTGCTGGACAGAGATGCTCCAGTACTGACCTCACGCAGTCAGCAGCCAGAACTAAAAGCATCGCACTAACCCAGTGCCTTTGCTTGCACTTAGCCCAGAGTGACATCATGGTGTTAAATCTCTTGTACAGGCAGAACTGAGATGCTGAGTGTGACAGAGACATCTCCCAAAGAGGAATTTCAGAATTCTGTTCTGCAGCCGTGACGCTGACAACATTCAGAGTTGGTAAGTGCTGTAAAGGCCACGTGCCATGGAAATCAAGGAAAGACATCAGCCAGAAGTAACTGATTTGTGTCCAAGTTGTAGGATCCCCTGCTGCATAACACAGGCACAGGAATAAATTCCTGGGTAACCAGCCATACTGGCTACATTTTTGTTGAATAGATACACCTTTAGAAACCTTCTGGAGCTCCACTACAGTCTGCCCTATCAGTTCTTCCTCCCACTGAAACCTTCTTATCTTCAGCCTTTTGTTGTTCTTCGTTGTCTTACACTTCCCCGGATTTTACTGAGGAAAATGTGGCATTTCAGTTCATACAGCTTGAGTTTCTCCCCCTTCCTGAAAAGCAGAAGGAAAGAAGGAACAGAGTATTAGAAAAGCCTCAGTCTTGTTTTGATCTCAGTAAGAGTTTCACATAAGTTATAACTGCAGTCCCAAGCATAGAAAGGATTATCTATGAAACTGTTTTTATAAACAACATTTTGTAGATGTTATGTAAGCTGAACTGATCTGCAATACCTAAACTTTTCATTCTTTTCATGGTAAAGGAAGAAAATATTACAAATATGTAAAATAAGGCACTAGTACATTAACATAAATAACTAATAAATTGTAAAGCTTTGTAGAAAACAGCTAACTGCTAATGGAATCATGCACATTTGTTGATTCTTGGAGCAGACACTGGCCATATATCATGCACCAAAGCAAGTGCTAAGAGTATCAGCACATAACAGCATTATTTAAACTTTTTTTATGGGAGAGATTAAATAGTCATTAAAGAAGCACATACTGAGTCACTGGCTCCATTTTCTATTTTTCGTTTGCACACAAGAGACCATCACAGGTTTTGGAGTTTTCATTATTACTTATGGATATAAAGCAATTACCTTCATGGCGGTTGACCATTAAATTATCAATAATGAAAACTGCCCTTCCAAAAGGACCAGCCCAAAGATCAGAAGCTTCAGATTCAGTAATTCCACTTGGTCATCCTGCCTCACTTAAGCTTGCCAGACAATCTCAGGAAAGGATTATCATGTGGTCAGTCATTCCATTTCTTGGCTGCTTTGACCAACAGACACTACAGTGGGCCAAAGGTGGTGTTGACTCCTGGCCCACAAGAACTGACCTAAACCCATTAACCATTGCACGTAGAAGACAAAATACAGTGACAAGATAAATGATAATTACTGTTGGTCACCCTGGTCTGGCATAGATTTGAATGAAGAAGTAAAGAACATAGACAAAGTTACATGAAGATCAAAGCTCCTGCAGAGGTGGTTATTTTTTAAAGTATGAATTTTTCTGTAAAGATCTTGATTCAAGTATTTTCCCCTGCATGTTTCTGCAGCTCGTGGGGTTACTCACATTCTTAAAACTAAACTGAAATGGAAGCCAAAAGTTCCCACCTACATAAGCCTTCCTCCATTCAGCATTAGGGACACCAGGAACAAAAAGTAACCAATTTTCTGAGGAGGAAGCCATAAAATTCCATACATCCAGCCAGGGCCTGGGTAAAGCCAAGTGCCATACCTGTGCTCTGGAATAGGCTGCAGATTAGTAAATTCAGCCCTTCCTCTTGTTTGGGAATGAAAATGCTTTAGAGCCAAGTTAAAGGGATGAATTGCAGATTGAAAGTCCTTGGGTTGTTGATGCTCTTTATGCCAGATAAAACAAATAACAGAGCTCAATGGAATGGAAATCTCCATAGTCTGCCATATACTGAATTTGTTTATGGTTCACTTGGCACAATTTTTTTCCCCTCGGACAATAAATGGACTTTTAAGCTGAAAGTTAATTTTTACTTTAAGAAAGCTCTGGCTGTAAAAAATGGACAAATTAACAGCAATGAGCACTTTCACACAGGAGAAAATGATTCATTAACTGTTCTTTCGCCATTGTAGAAGAGTCCATTTTTGGCTAGTCCTCAAGAGAGTCCAAGGATGTTATAATACAAGCAACGTTTAGAAAAACTTCATTGCACAGAAAATTCCAGGCTTCAATTTTCTTCTTGAGAGAGTTCAGTAGTTGCTTTATTCTCTGTGTGTGTGCGTGTGTGTGTGTATGTTTATACACAGAATTAGATTCTAGCAAAGGGAAAGTGCATTTATGCAAAAAGCAATTCATCAACCACTTCTGTGCTCAGAATTCACTGAGGTAATTTAGATACTTTAATGGCAAGGTAGTTTAGGTAAGGTATGCAATAAATGTTTCCCCCAACCCCTTCAAACAGTTAGAGTAATGGAAAATGTGCACTCTAAATGAATCTTTTCAGTAAAGTAATTCTTGTTTTAATTATTTATCAGTTAGAAAATATTAAATATAATGACATAGCAAACTTCTCTGGAATCTCTTTTCATGTTGAGGGAGCACTCTCACATTAGCTGGAGTTTTATGCAAGCTCTAACTACAAGGCTAACATAATGCAGTGTGCTGCACTGATCTGTTTCTCGTAATATTAAATGTGCAGCAAGCACCTACCACAATGAAGAGACCCTTTGGATCCACTTGCAACATTTTCACTATGGCCTTGACCTTAGTGATGTCAGGCATATAGTATATCTCCACTATAATTTATTATTGACATCATGGATTAAATTTTTTGTTTCAGCTAATGCAACAGAGCAAGCAAGGTAGATTGTGAAACAAAGCCAGCTGCTGAAATACGAGGGTTGTCAAGTATAAATTTACAAAAGATATTCAGACAGAGCACAGAAGACAAAAATAAATGGACAGAGAAGCTGTTTTTGACAGACTGCAAAGGGCTAGAGACTTAAACTTGAGCATTGTAAATCCAAATGTCACAAAATACTGCTACAGAATGTGAGACATGTCTATTTCTCAGGAATATAAATGGTGATATGAGACAAAACTTTCAAGATGCCGTGCATTTTTGCAAAGTCTATCACTATCTCCTGATAAGAAACTTAGTGATCTTTTCCTCTTAGCCTTAAAAGAAGGAAATTCATCATTTAAATTCAGTGACCAACATAACAACTGTATTTGGGACAGGTAGTTTATAAAAATAGCAAAAAAAACCCCAGCTTGCTATAGTTTTTTGGATTTCTAGAAAAATATGACTTTTGGATTCCTAGAAAAATATAAACTGACTGATAGGTTTGTTCTCTTGGTGAAATTTAGCCAATCATATATAAATAATTCTTATTTGGGCATTCAGATGGATAGATGGTAGTTTTTGGCTGTTATGTGTCTGTGAAAGAACAGCCCTATATAAAAATAAAATCCTTTTTTATTTTTTAGATGTTATGTCAGTCACATAACTCAGGGTGGGTTTTCTTGTAAAGGCTTTTCTGTGATTCCCAGAATGATGTACTGCCTGTCCACCTGAGAAAGGACTCAGTGAAGAGAGACACCCACAGAGCGAGATGGGCAGCAGTGCTCAGGCAGGCCTGCAGCTGAGGCTGGGGAGCATCCTGCAACAGCCTCAGCTTCCAAATTCTTGTATCATGAAGCCAGTAACTGAGGCTGAAAAAAGGGGCACAGCATGTTGGCCAAAGGTTCCACCTTGGAGACTTTCAGCTCCATGTTTGACTCAGCAACAAGCATGCTCTTTCTTACTCCTTTGCAGTTGAGGGAATAAATCTAACCTGAGGAAATTAAACTCTGACTCCATGACCTAAATAAGTTGTCAGCACTGATTTAAGAGGAACATACCATAGTCACAGGACCATCAATGAAGCAACTGTGGGTTCTACCAAAATATAAACAGAGAGCACTGTTTTGGGATAAACGCAGAGATGGGAATGATACCTTATTCTGAGACATCTGGAATATCTCCAAAACAGCTGCATTTTGTGGAATCCTTTCCTCCAGTGCAAATCCATTCATGGCCTGAGTGATGGGGTGGCTACCTCTAGCAAGTGAAGTGCAGAGGAAGTAAAATAATGGCTAGTAAGAGCAGGGTTTGTTTTGAGGGAGTTAATTGTTTCTTGTTGGGTTTTTCACTACTCAGAAGGCCTAATCTTAAATAAAAATTGGGATGGGTTAAAGCAAGGTTTTTGACACATGACTAAAAGCAGTGTTAAGACAAATGGTCTATAGCTTTCTCCTATTGTGTCAAAGATGCTGTGGAAGATGATCAATGTAGGCCAGGCCCAGAGAGATTCCACGCTCCACTCACTGCAAACACCTCTCTGGAGCAGCTCGGATACACTGTGCTGCAATAGGTAAGAGCAACAGCATGCCACATGAGCTTAGCATTAATTTTGATTCATTTTGCAGGTCAAGCATGAAATGCCTCTTGTAGTGCTCTCTGGTGCTAAACAATTTACACCAGTTTAGAATTTTCCAATCTTAGCATCAATTATTTGTGACAATTTCAGATCGCTATCTAATTTTGGCAATGCAGCATTCATACCTAGGACTTCATTCCCTGTATATTGATTTCCTCTAAGCTTTGCTTTTTTGGAAAAATCTTTTGCACTGATACACCTGGTTAGCAGATGTGGCTTGGCTATTATATGTAACGCAATTAATCTGGAGGGCTGGCGTCACAGGACTTTCCGCGATGCTGTGGCAGCATTATTGTGATTCATTAGTGTCACTTCCTCAGCAAGTTGTAATTGGCAGTGCATATTGTTTCTGTAAAAAATCAGTCACTGTGGTGGTAGGAAAAAGAATGGCATATTTTCTTTTCTGAGGAAAACAAAGGTTATCCTTGTTTACACATCTAGTATGAATGTAAAATGAACAAGCTCCATCCTTAATTTGCCTCTTCTACCTCCCTGCAAAGCCTAGGTGTTAGAGGATGGCGTTGAGATGCATTCACCAGACAAAAAGTGTTTCCTATTATTAATGGCTGGAGGAGCCCTCTGTGTAATCAAAGGGCACAGCTGCAGTGATATACGGCCAGTGACAAACGGAGAGATCTTTCCTTCTCACTGCTACAAGCTTGCCAGCTTGCAGCCAGCAACTTCCAGCGCTGTATATCTGCAAGATAAATAGCACGAGATATGAATATACGCAGTGCTTACAGTCTTGAAAA